CATACCAGCAATATTAACCTTCTCATCTCAGTCTCCCCAAGTACATCTTATTATAAAGAGAGACATTGGCATGCTCTGAGTAGCAACCCAAAACCAACAGATATATTTAAAGATCCTCCCCTATTGCTCATAAAAGATCAGGGAACATTAGATACAGATTTGTTCATGCTGCCTTTTCCATTGATCCTTCAAGCTCAGGCATGAATTGGTTATGCACCCATCAAACACCAAGGTGTATGTACCCACACTGGCTGGGAAGGGGTTACCATTTAGGGATAATCAAGATCTGAATCACAAACATGTACGTGACCCAGCGCAGCAGGCCACTCTGCCACAGTATATCTGCAGTAGGCGTGCATCACTATTAACCCAACCCTGCCCCCTACTCTACCATCGGGGGAGTGCAATGTGGCTTCTTTGTCCTGGGCGCTGGATCACCTTGTCCCACCACTGCTCATCCCTGCTGGTCTACTCATGGAATGCATCTTCAGAGAAAATGCAGGTGCTAAGGCAATGAAAACAGTTCAAGACTTGGAAAGCTCTCGTTATAAGGTGATTTACAAACCCCTTTCTTCTATGGAACCTAGTGACTCAAGACTACTTCCAGACTAACCCTACAATGTACAGTAACTTCACTCCAAAAAGCCAGGCTGATAGCCTGCACCAGATAGCTGCATATGTAAAGACCAGCTCTGGCATCAATGTGGAGAACAATCTTGATTGAGAAGAAAGAACAAAATAGGTTGCACTTTTTTTTTTCCCTAGCAGAGCTGAAGAAAAAACATCTATGCTCCCAGCAGAGTCGCAGAACACTGAGGAATATTGGTAGTAGGGAGGTTATCCTGGACTGGCTTAGTTTTTTTGTGTGCCGTGTCCAATACTCCTGTATGTGGCAGTATAGCCCAAAACTGGAGACTTCCCGTGTCCCACAATGAACCAAAAAAAGAAAATGCTTTTGGTATATCCAAAATCCTCTGCATTTGCTCATGCAATTTCTGGTGGTAAGGAGGAGGATGCAACAAGTCAAAATATGGAGCCTGCATAGAGTATAATACTTTCCATTTAAGACATTTCAAATGCTTATTACTCTTCATACTGTAAATACCCATAAGATTCATATTAGAACTCTGTCAACTGTGAATGTGTAGAAAAATGCATCATCCTTTATGTTATCTATTACTAAGAAATCTGCACTTTCCTCGGTGTCCCTGCCCTGCATTGTTTGAACCTAAGTAATTGACTCCATAATAAGTCTGTGATTTCCAGATGAAACAGGATATACTCCAGTGACTTTCCTGTTAAGATTAGTCTGTTATATCTTACAATATCCTAGTTAAGTTTGGTATGTGCTTTTAGTAATCTCATGTGACATTAAAAGAAAAGTGCAAATATGATTTTTTTTTTTTTTTTTGTATGCCAATCTCATAGTGGCAGGAGCCATGCAGACTAGTACATGTTTGTCCCTGTGTTCCGAGCCAGCAAAAAGGATAAACAGAAATGCTGCCATGATAGAGAGCATTACTTAGGTGAGGTAAATAGCATCTGGAAAACTGATGTTTATTTAAAAAGTGACACTTGCCATTTTTTCATTTGCAAAACTGCATTTATATGTGTTTAGAGGACATTTGTTAACACATACATGCATCTCCTAGATTGTAAGCTCCAAGAATCAGGGCCCTCCTATCCCTCTTGTATTGAACAGTATTGTTGCTGTATTCTCTCCCGTTATATTGTAAAGCGCTGAGCAAACGGTTGGCGCTATATAAATCCTGTATAATAATAATGTAATGATTTTTTGATATTCATGTACAAAGTGTCTAGTTGCATTTAGGTGTTAGGTCCTGGGTGTATAAAATGTATATTTTTTTTTCCAAACCCATCTAAACTGACTAGAAACTCTAAATGCAGCTAAACCCGATTTAGCCCTGCTTCACCCCTGTTCACCCCAGTCTGCTGCGAGAAAAGTGTCCCTAACCCTATTCAAAAACCCAGTGGCTGAAAATTCATAGATGTGAACGTGTCCCTAGGAAACCATGTTAAATGGACTATAGTGAGTTTCTGCAAAAAAAAAAAAAAAAAAAAAAGCACTAAAAATGCATAGGTGTGAACCAGGCCTTAAAGAATGAGCATCTAAAAAAATGCAGGAAAATATAAAAGTATAAAAAGGAAAACTCTTTTGTTCAGGAAAGTTAAAAGCAGGAGTGCCAGTGTAATGGATGCCTTAAATTGGGAATAAAAGTGCATGTCTTTGTTAATACCACATAGTCTGTAATAAGAAATGTCATTTGTATCCCTTTGCCAAAAACTTACCTAAAATAAAACTTCTACAGCAAGGGTTCCTGAAATGTGAATTTAGCCCTAGGATAGACTGTGAGCCAGTGTCACAAACAGAAAATTGTTCACTGACAGGTTACAAAATGCATCCAGCTGCAGACTTTCGAACAGTGTGTGGCCATCCCTGTTCAGCAGAAGTCAATCATCACAGTTGATTGACTTCAAAGAGAAATTTTCTCAATCAGTGGCTGCAGTCAATCAACTACTGCCACTGTCAAAATACAATGTCCCCTCATTCAGTACCAAAGGGCTGCACATTTAATGTGTTTAATACTTATTTCTGGACACAGTTACTGACTATAGCCTGCTGTCGGCTGACATCACGGAACAGGCCAAGGCTCTGCATGGATCCCAACAATAAAACCTAACAACTGTGCTTTTATTTTCTTCGTCAGCTCATCCCCCACAGTTATTACATTTTGTATCTCTTGACACCCCGTCTTTGGATTTTAAGCTCTAACAAGCAGGCCCCTCTTATTCCCCCTGTATTGAACTGTATTGTACCTCTACTGTCTGCCCTCATGTTGTAAAGCACTACACAAACTGTCAGCACTATATAAATCCAGAATAAAATAATGTCAGGATCCCCCCCGATGCCTGACCAGCAGCTGGTTCAGCTTCTCAGCAAGCCACTGAGAGCCTAAGCCAGCCACTCCCACTTCCTCCACAGTGACCGCTGGAAGGGCAGAGCTGAGAGCCAGTGCCTAACAATCACTGTTCTCTGCTCAGTGAAGACTGAACAATGAACGGTCAATGGTCATGTGATCACTCAGTCTTAGAGCTGACGGTGAACAGCCATTTAGTCGCGTATGTTTCTTTTTTTCAAATCTCAGTCTCCTCTTTAAATCAAGGATAAAAGGCAAACTGGTCTTTTATCTTGTTTTTCCTATTTGTGGTATGCTTTTCCATGTCCTACAGCTTTACTGCCCCAGTGTTCCAGGTATTAAAGACGTATCATTGCAGATGAAGTTAAGAGCAAAATGCCATTAATGTTTTAGGAAATTTATTAAAAAACATTATGTTCAGAGAGCAGAATGTGAAAAAACATATTTACATTAATAATTATGCATGACTGCATAAAAAAAACAAAAAAAAAATATTATATCTTATGTAGTCATTAAATGAAATATCCAACATATCCCATCATAATAAATTGAACCTGTACCCAGAATAAGCACAATAAAAAGACTCTACAACAAGCCCTCTTTCATCTCTGTAGCTATAAGCACTGTGGAAAAATTCACAATAGACATCCCGAAGTCATTTCCCCCCCCCCTTTTACTTTTTTATGAAGGGCAGATCTTCTGAGCAGACTTCTAATGTAACATATGGTAGAGGATTTAAAGTGACACTAAACAATATCTTTATTCTCCAAAAAAGAATTCATACACATCCACTACTTGATGACCCTGCAATTTATTTTTCATTATATCAAATTGTGTTTTTCTTATAACGTTCCCTGTGAGCTCCCAAACCTCTCGTTTTCCCCTTACTTCCACTTGAAATAGTCATTGCTCATTAGTTGCGGTCATGTGCACAGTAGTAGGTGGGACCACGGAAAACAACTGTAGCCTCCTTATAACAGAAAGTCGGTCCACAGGAGGAAAAAAAAAAAAAAAAGCAATAGAAAGTACTTTTTTAAATTAACAACACATACTTAAATAAATATTTTTTTTTAGTAGAGTTTAGTGTCACTTTAAAGCGAAACTATACTCATATAGAATCCAGCAATACGCCTTCCTGGAACTCACCGGTTTCAGGTGGATGGCTTCTGTGTGTCGAACGCAGGCTGCTGTCATTGGCCAGGCAGAGATGTCACTCCTGTGCATAGGCAGACGTTCCATCAGCTTTGGCATTGCCGAATTTGTGCAGCTTACTGTAAAAAAGGAGCAGACAGGCAGGTATAAAACTTTAATGCAGAAGAGACAAAGCATGTTTTTTCTGCATTAAAAATCCTGCCTGCCAATTTTCATTGTGGAGCCTAAAGTTCCACTTTAAGCTGTTAGAAACTGACTGAAACTGGACATCAGAAGACTTGAGATCTTTGAGGATGTGTTACACAGTACAATCAGCTAGAAAGGTCAGGAATTTCTTGTTTTAAAGCTTAGTTACTGTTTGTTAAGCATATGTATAAACTTTAATGTCTGTAATCTTAGCACAAAAAGGATCAACAGAATAAAACTTGAGTGCCTAGTCAAAAACTGCTTCAAAAGAATTACATAGCATATTCTACAACCTTTTCTTCAAGCAAAATGTCTCAATTTAGCATACCAGTTTTACCATGTTAGTTCAAAGAGTAAGCTACAATAAACTCAAGTAACAGAAAGCTCCCACTCTGGAATATGGAGAATGCTGGCTAGCAAACACTAAACTAGTAGTCCCTAAATCCCCATGTGAAACAGCACAGTTTAAGAATGGTGCCAATATAGTAAAGGCTGGAAATCCCAGCCTACATAAGCAAAGAATTTCTCCATTTCATTCAGTCTTTGTTCTTTGGAAAACCTCACACTTCCAGGGAAAAAAAAATAAAAGCGAAAAAAAAAATAGGAACTACCCCACAGAATCAGTTTTGACACATCAGTCCAAAAGTTTCCAGCTGCCAATGTTAAAAAAAAAAACCCAGACTCCTCAAATTTCTTACCATTAAAAAAAAAAAAAAAAAAATTTCAAAGTTCCATTTCCTCCTCTTCTCTGCCCCACAAGGGGTCATTATCACAGTCTAAATTCAAGATGTTAGATTTGTCTTCCTCCAGTGGATCTACTTGCCGGAGGAATGGTGTTTTAGGGGTATCTTGTTTGGATGCTTCCGCTTCTTCCTTATGACTACTGGTAAAACTTTGGAGTTTATCAATAAGAAATTCTGGTTGGGGTTTCCAAAGGACAAGCTCCATGGACGGACGATTCCTGCAACACAAATACTTTATTACAGTACCAAAATATGAGAGAATATGCTTGAATTTAAATTAAATAAAAAGTTTTGGAAATTGGGTTCAGAGCAAGTATTGTGTCCTAAAAGATATCATACATTGAGTGTATCCATTTTAACAAGCGTTAGCTCAGTTGTGCGTTATAAGGATAAAAACAATTGAAATAAAGAATAAAATAAATAAATAAAAAAGCTCCTTAAATTCATTTGGAAATAACCTTTGTAAACAATGCTTTGTAGCAGAATCATAATTTTAGTATAATTAAATTTCCACAAGTTTTTATTTAAACAGTAGTAAGACAGACATGTTCTTAGTACATAGCTCATAGACGGTTCGCCTCATCTTAAATGTGACAAACAATAGGGGGGGAAAAAAAAAAAAAAAAGTTTTATTGTAGATAAAAAGTTTTTTTTTTTTTAGTTCTTTTACAGTGAATCCAGAAAGTATTCACAATGCTTAACTTTTGCCACATTTTGTTATGTTACAGCCTTATTCCAAAATGGATTACATTACATTTTTTCCTGAACATTCTACAAACAATACCACATAATGACAACATAAAAGAATTTCGTTTTGCAATCTTTGCAATTTATTAAGAAAATCTACATGCACATAAGTATTCACAGCCTTTGCTCACTACTTTGTTGAAGCACCTTTAGCACCAATTGCAGCCTCAAGTCATTTTGAGTATGATGCTACAAGCTTGGCACACCTATTTTTGGGTAATTTCTCTTCTTCTTTGCAGTACCGCTCAAGCTCCATCAAGTTGGATGGAGAGCGTCGGTGCACAGCCAATTTTCAGATCTCTCCAGAGATGTTCAATCAGGTTCGAGTCTGGGCTCTGGCTGGACACTCCAGGACATTCACAGAGTTGGCCTGTAGCCACTCCTTTGTTATGTGGGCTGTGTGCTTAGGGTCATTGTCCTGTTGAAATCTGAACCGTTGCACCAGTCTAAGGTCCAGAGTGCTCCGGAACAGGTTTTCACATTGCTGCATTCATCTTTCCTTTGATCCTAACTAGTCTCCCAGTTCCTGCCACTGAAAAAACATCCCTACAACATAATGCTGCCAGCACCATGCTTCACTGTATGGATTGTACTGGCCAGGTGGTGAGCGGTGCCTGGTTTCCTCCAGACATGATACTTGGCATTCAGGCCAAAGAGTTCAATCTTTGTTTCATCAGACCAGAGAGTTTTGCTTTTCATGGTCCGAGAGTCCCTCAGGTGCCTTTTGGCAAACTACAGGCGGGCTGCCATTTGCCTTTTACGGAGGAGTGGCTTCCATCTGGCCACTCTACCATACATGCCTGATTGGTGGAGTGCTGCAGAGATGGTTGTTCTTCTGGAAGGTTCTCCTCTCTCCACAGAGAAACACTCAAGCTCTTTCAGAGTGATCATCGCGTACTTGGTTACCTTCCTGACTAAAGCCCTTCTCCCTCGATCGCTCATTTTGGCCAGGCGGCCTGCTCTAGGTGGTTCTAAACTTCTTCCATTTACAGATGATGGAGGCCACTGTGTTCCTTGGTACCTTCAATGCTGCAGAAATTTTTCTGTACCCTTTCCCAGATCTGTGCCTTGATACAATCCTGACTCAGAGGTCTACGGACAATTCCTTGGACTTCATGGCTTGGTTTGTGCTCTGACATGCACTGTTAACTGTGGGACCTTATATAGACAGGTTTATGCCTTTCCTAACCATGTCCAATCCACTGAATTTCCCACAGGTGGACTCCAATCAAGTTGTGGAAACATCTCACGGATAACCAGTGGGAAAAGGATGCACCAGAGCTCAATTTTGAGTGCCATGGCAAAGGCTGTGAATATTTATGTACATGTGGTTTTTTTCATTTTTAATAAATTGCAAAGATTTCAAGATGAACTTCTTTCACGTTTGTCATTATGGAGTATTGTTTGTAGAATTTTGAGGGGAAAAAATGAAATTTAATCCACTTTGGAATAAGGCTGTAACAACAAAATGTAGCAAAAGTTAAGTGCTGTGAATACTTTCTGGATGCACTGTACATCTTTTAAAATCTGCATTTGTTACTAGAAAATTGCTTAAAGTAATATTAACCGCTTTCTGACCAACCTATAGCAGAACTATTGTTACAGGGCGGAAGGGCTACGCAAAATCAAGCATATATACAAACGTGATTTCGCATTTCCGGGTAGGGGGGTGCGCACGTGCCACCCTACCCACGTCAGCCTTGGCGGCTACAGATGTTGATCACCGGGTCTCAGCTGGAGATTCCCCGCCAGCACCCGGTGATCACCGAGTATCACTGACAGGGGAGAGGCCTGTGTGTAAACAGCACAGGTCTCCCTCCTGCCAGCAGTAACATGCTGCTGTCTTGGCACAGCAGAGAAATACACAGCAGTAGGTTTCCCTAGTAAATCATACAGCACACTGTTAACCCTTTGATCGCCTCAGATGTTACCCCCTTCCTGCCCAGTGTCATTAGTACAGTGTCAGTGCTTTTTATTAGTGTCATTGGCACTTAGCTCCCCCCCAGTTTCAAAATGCCCACCACAGTCCCGCTACAAGTTGATGATGGCCACCATTACTATAATACAAAAAAAAAAAAATCCAGTATATATGCACACCATCATTTGTCGACGCTATAACTTTCACATAAACCAATTAATTTACATGTATTGGGATTTTTTGTTTTAGCAAAGACATGTAGCAGAATATATTTTGGCCTAGATTTATGAAGAAATTTGATTTTTAAAATTTTTACTAGGTATGTTTTATATAGCAAAAAGTCAAAAATATACGTTTTTTTTTTCCTAAAAAATTGTCTTTGTTTACAGCACAAAAAAAAAAAAAAAAAAAAAAAAAAAAAAAAAAACACACACACTAAAGTCTTGAGCATTTACAACCACTTTAACAATGCCCAAACCAGGGGTCCTGCAAAATAAAAAATGTTGCCAGATGCAATTTCTTTTTTTGCATGTCACACTATATTTACACAATTGTTTAACAAATATATTTTCAAGAAAAAATTAATGCAAATGTTGGGGTTGTGCCATGTAAAGACACCAAACACGTTGAGCCTTAAAAATCACACACGCCTGTAAAAAGGCAAAAAAAAAAAAAATCAGTACCCACAATTCTCCATAGGCAATGCTTTAAAAGCCTTTGAAGTTTCTCAAAATAGATCTAACAGCAAATTATGACCTTGGAATTATTGTTCTCAGTGACATTTGCAGCAATAATTGTGCGGTGTAATCGCTGTTTATGTACAAGTGCGTGCTCATGGGCATTCGGGTGTGTGCGCAGGAAAAAGAAAGGGGTTTAATTTTATTACTTTTATTTTATTATAAAATTTAAACTAACAATTTTTCATTTAACTATTTTTAATCACAAGAGGACTAGCAAGCCCCTATGTGATAGCATTGACAAGTGACAGGTTATCTTTACAGAAAAATCTGGGGTCTATTAGATTCCTAAGGTCTCCTCTGCCCTTCACCCCAGCTGATAAAATACAGGATTGTATATGATTGGCTGTTTACCCACCACCCACTTCAGCAGCGACTCTTACAGCTCTGAACCCAGAAAAGCTCAGAGCTGAGCACATCTGATGTTCCCTGGTGTGCTCCTGGTCACCATCCTGAGAGCATGTACTATGGTCCTGCACTTCCCAGAGGAGTAGGAGATAGGGTTGCCACCTCATCCCTTTAAAACCGAACACATTAATTATACAGGTTCTGAGGCTAATGTAATGCAGATAAGGCACTAAGTAAGTTTAGTTACCAACCTTAACAAGCCGCAGCACCTGTGTAATTTATGTGTTCGGTTTCAAGGGGATGAGGCGGCAACTCTAGTAGTGGGTGTCTTGTAGTTTCATAACAGTGATCACTTGTTTGAAAGCCAGGAGGCAGCTGAACAAATTGGTAACAATCTCATAGCTGCTGCACCTGTAAACGTGTGTTAACCCCTTGAGTTCCAGGACATTTATTAATGGGCCAGTGGACATCAAGTGGCTAATTACAAGGTTATTGCCAGATCAATATGTCCATGGGCAGAAAAATAAAAAAAACTGTTCTGGTCCATAGGGGGTGTACAAAATATGAAAGCTGAACTTGTTAATTTGTTTTAATGTAAATAAAAAGTAGACATGTTATTCTTCAAATATATTCCATTTAAGATGCATCAGACATAATGTATAGATAAAGCTATTTGCAAATTTAAAAGTGCATTTAATTGTTTGTACTGAAAAAATGAATACAATTAAAATGAACTGAAATAAAAAATAAAAAAAATCAATCAGCAGAAAAGTAGTAGCTATGAGAAGGAAGACATTTAGTGCAGGGCTGATCAGGGTTAAAGGAATAAGGGGTTAAATAAGGATACATATGAAACACTTATTTTTCTGGTTCTGAAAGGTTACTTTTAAGACTGGTCGCCCACTCCCCATTAAGGATTGGCACCTTTGGGGAGCGGGCACCCGCAATTGACAGGTACTTGCTCCCACTTCTGCTGCGATCGCCTAGGCGATTGGAAGCGGAAGTTGTCCTCCTACCCTCCCTCCTCATAGTCTTCTGGGACACGTGACCAGTCCCAGAAGACTACGGGGCCATTCAGGAACTGCAGCGCTACTCGTGCATGCGCAGTGGGCACTCGGCTGTGAAGTCGCAAGCTGTCACAGCCGGGTGCCCACACTGACGATGCCAGCGCCTGGAACACCAGACAGCTGGTGAAATGGGCTGTGGTGAGGACACGCGCGGGATAGGGGAGTGACTGGTTTTTTTTTTTTTTTAAAGTCAGCAGCTACAGTTTTTGTACCTGCTGACTTTCATTTTTTTTGTTACAGAGTGAGTGGAACTCCACTTTAACTGATTTTATATGCAGGTCAAAAAGGTCACACCCATGAAACAAATTAATGAAATTGTTGCATTGATACACTGTTATACTTTGTCACAAAAGACAAGTCAAAGGGGCTACATTTCAGTAGCTCCATTTTGACAGCTGGTAACTGTCAGTAATAGCAGCTGCAGAGCAGGACATAGAAGATACATTCTAGAAGCTATGTTTTTTTGTTTAGGATGTATCCACATGTACATTAGCTTGGGTTCAGATCTATCCATGTCTGCTTTTGTGTGTTTTTAAGTGTTACTATTCTACTGGGCATCATAGTTCCTGAAAATGTGCAGAAAATATGACATGCCTTTCTTACCAAACCCAGCACATAGATGTGAACAGGCTGCTTGGATTGACTGTATTTTGAGGATGCATGCATTTCTGTGAGTTCCAAAACGCATAGGTATGAACCAGGCTTAATGGTCAAGTACTTAAAGCATAAAAACAATTCTAAGTAGAGAACAGTGAAAGGACCAGTATAGCAAGGTACACTGGATTCCTACAGCTATCTGGAGTTAAAAATTAAATACTACAATTTGTCCTAAGCCCTGGAAGTGGCACTTTTGCTTAATAGTTTGACCAGCATAAAAATGAATATAAATAAAAGCATGTGAAAGACAGAAAAGAGACAAAAAAGGAATGCCTACAGGGCACTTATACCCCCTTCCTGCCCAGGTCATTTCCAGCTTTCAGCGCTGTCACACTTTGAATGACAATTGCGCAGACATGCAACATTGTACCCATATGAAATTTTTATCATTTTTTTGTGAAAGTTTTATTTTGGTGGTGTTTATCACCTCTGGGTTTTTTATTTTTTCTTAAACAAATCAAAAACCACTGAACATTATGAAAAAAAAAAAAAGAAGTTTTAGTTTTTGTTATAAAATATTTGTAAATGATTTTTCTCCTTCACTGATATGCACTAATGAGGCTGCAGTGAAGGGGAATGATGATAAGCTGCACTGATGTACACTTATGGCTGGCACTGATAGGCGGCACTGAAAGGCAGCTCAGATGGGCACTGATATGTGGCATTGATGGGCACTTGCACGAGGCACTGATGAGCACTGACAGGTGGCACTGCTGGGGCTACACTGATCATCAGGGCACAGCATGACAGCTCGAGAGGAGAGAAATGCCGATAACTGGCATTTCCCTGTTTACATGTGATCAGCTGTGACTGGACACAGCTGATCACATGACCGAGCCGACATCTTCGGCTCTTTCCGTGATCGGTGATCCGCTGTGTCCACGGGACACAGCGCACCGCCGATCGCCGCACGCTCCCTGAGCCGCGCATGCGCGGTAAGAATGGGAGGACGTCATATGACGTCCTCCCAGAACGAGAGAACCACCTTGCGTCCGTCATTTTACTATATGGCGGGCGGGAGGTGGTTAAACAAAATACTTCTACATGTATATATGGTTGTCAGAATACAATCTGTGATATCTGGATCCTTTAAAGTGTATGTAAAGGCAAGCCTTTTTTGTTTTTAGTGGAGAGACAATAGGCTGTCAAGTTTTTACTGCAATGTCCCTGCCAGAGAGATTAACCCCGCTTTCTGTCCTGATGACAAATTGTCACATAGACAGGAAGCAATATAAAATAAATTTGGCATGATCAGGAGAGCAAGAAGAAATGGGGACTTTTTTTTTTTTTATTTTATTTCCTACTTTGGAAAGATTTTCTTATTGTTGCATTTACAGGACAAGACATTAATGGAAATCTACTCATCGGGACAAACACAGCAAGAAAAACATTATGGCCATTTTATACACTCTAGGTTTATGTACCTGAAACATTTACAACAAAATCTGAACACAATCTTGGTAAAAGAGATGAAAACGTCACTCAAAAAAGGGAAGTACCTTCACACATTTAACACGCTGCACAAGATATCTGCACCTCCCTCCCCTTCCCCAGACAATACTGTGACCTCACCATCATGCAGCTGTCACAAACATGTACACATTGCCCATCTGAATGTACTCCATAGTGAGATTCATAAGATTTAACTAAAAATATATATCAAAAGACTCACATGGAATCTACAATCTTCCTGGTCAGTGATTCATCCAAGCCTTTTTTCAAGCTTTCTACGAGTACATCAGACATTACAAGTGTTGGTAAATGGTCATTTTTATTTTCTTCTTCTTCACCATCCTCCTCCTCTTCAATGACTAGCCTAAAACAGAAAAAAAAACTGCAGTGATACTTTGAAAAAGGGTTTTTAAAATTTCACAATCCATGTCACTAAAGATTAGAAACACCAAATAATTGTAAGAATGCTGTTTTCCAGTGTACTACTTACTCAGCTCAGTGACATGCAACTTTTTTTTTTTTTTTAGAACCAGAGCTCAATACTGTAGATAACATTATACCTTAAGTGCATTATACTCTCAAGTTGGCCTTGGAAACACTGGTTACTGTGAAGAATGAGAAGATATTGTGCAACGCCATAAACCATCTGTTCATAGAATAGGCACACTGCTAATAATTTGTGAAAGTGGAGCTCCAGTCTCCAGTAGAGGAGAAAAAAAAAAAAGGCAGAGGCTACAAAAACTGTAGCTGCCGACTTAACAGCCACTCACCAGTACCTCAAAATCTAGCTGGTTCCCGCTGCGCATTGTGAATTATCCCACAGTCTTCTGGGACAAGTTATGTGTCTCAGAAGACTGTGGGTGGGGAGGATATAACTTCCACTTCTGATTGCCTAGGTGGCTGGAGCGGAACTGGGAGTGGGTACCAGTCAAATATCAGGTACCTGCTCCCCGAAAAATATGCCAATCCTTAACAAGGAGTAGGGATTGAGTCCTTAAAGTGGAATTTCCCCTTTTGGATGGAGCTCTGCTTTAATGCCTAAAAAGTGGATGTAGGCAATAGTTACTGGCGACAGTATTTCTAAGAGCCTTTCAGGACAGCACCTGGAGAGAGCGCAGCTCCACCCACAATCACAGGAAACACTGCAGATTTAAAAAGTCCTCCACCATGCCCTCAGTTATTGCCGAGTAGCCCATGACATGCTGGAAAAAATAAGAACACCATGCCAACAACAGAATCACTGGACATAGTGATCATAAGAAAAATAGAGGGGAGTAGCCGCTGCTGTCCTGAAAGGCTCTTAGAAATACCATCACCGGTAAGTCTCACGAAGGTTTTCCCCCTCAATTGCCTTTCAGGACAGCACCTGGAGACGATAACTGAGTAACTTACCCTAGGGTGGGACTACTGCTTGCAGGACCTTCCTGCCGAAAGACTGGTCAGCAGTCGCCAAGTCCACCCTATAATGACGTGGAAAAGCTGGACCATGTAGCTGCCTTGCAAATCTGTTCTGGAGATGCACCAGCCCTCTCAGCCCAGGAGGCCACCTCTAACCTTGTAGAGTGTGCTGCAATACCTACTGGAGAGTCCCTTGCCTATTGCTCCATAAGCTTCCTTGATGGCTTGCCTGAGCCATCTACCCAAAGTACTTTTGAAGGCTCTCTCCCCTTTGCAACTTCCTGAGTAGAGTACAAACAGGGTGTTTTTTGACTTCTTGAACTCTTTCGAGACCTCCAAAAATTGCAAGAGACATCTTCTCACATCCAAAGTATGGAACACTTCCTCTCCCGGATTGGCTGGAGCTGTACAAAAAGTAGGGAATAGGATTTCCTGAGTACAATGAAAGGTAGAAGAAACTTTGGAAGAAACCCAGGGTCCGTTCTAAGGATCACCCGGTCCCAAAAAATAACTAAAAAGGATTCAGAAATCAACAGCGCCTGGATCTCACTTATCCGTCAAGCTGAAGTGAATGCCACCAAGAAAATGGTTTGTAAAACTAAATCTCATATCGATGCCTCTACTAGGGACTCAAACGGTTTCTTCATGAGGCCCTGTAAAACTAAAGACAAGTCCCATTTAAAAAAAAAATATAATTGAAGCCAGCCTAGCCCTGGCCAAGGACTTACAGAAAAAAAAAAAAAAATTCTGAATTAGCAGTTCTGTCCAGGAACACGGATAATGCTGCCACTTGAGATTTAAGGGTACTTAAGGTCACTAACCATTCTTTCATGGAGAAATTCCAAGATGGACACGATCTTCGGGAAACTCTTGTCCAAACACCAGAAATTTATACTGCTTCCACCCCTTCAGATATATTGCTTTGGTTACCTCTTTCCTACTTGAAAGTAGGGTGGAAATAAGCTTACCTGACAGCCCTTTTCTTCTTAGATCTTGAAGAACCATGCTGATATTTTGGAAGCGAGTTTGGGCTTGGAGGAAAGATTCAGTAGGGTCGAGAACCAAGGCCTTTTAGATTTGTTGCCTCTTGCTTGAATTTTCAAAGTACCAGAAGAATGAGCTGAAAGGGAGGGAACGCGTAGGAAAACAGGTAATTCTAAGGATAAGCTAGCACGTCCAAGCCTACTGCCTGATCTTCCCTGTGTAGGGAAAATACTGGTGACTCGCAAACAGTTCAACCTGAGGAACTTCCCAAGCTTCTGTGATTAACTGGAAAACTTCCTGATTCAGGCTCCACTCGGACTCTACTACCTTTCTCCTGCTCAGAAAGTCCGCCAGTTGATTCTGAGAGACCTTTAGTGCACAGCCGAAAAGGTAGCTAAATTCTGTTCCGCCCAAGACAGGATCTCCAGTGCTAACTCCGGCAGCCCCCTGCTTCTTGTGCCCAGTCTTGAAATGTAGGCCACTGCTGTTATATTGTCCGAGAGGACCTGAACATGCTTGCCCCCTTACTGACTTGTAAAAAAAAAAAAAAAAAAAAAAAAAAAAAAAAAAAAAAAAAAGGGACCATGGCAGACCCCTTGACAGGTTGGTCGAATCTCGCCACTGCAGTGCTCTTTTTACATTAGAAGAGATCTTTATAGGTCTGTCCAGGGGATCCTGGTATGCCCATTTTTGGAGAGGGCAGAAATGAAAGCTGGCCCACTGGACAGCCAGAATGGAGCATGTGTAAGCAGCCCCAGCATGGCCATCAGAACTGACACGTACAGATTGGACTGAATCCGACTCAGAGCAGCCTGAACTTTTTCTATCTTCTCCTCCGGGAGGAAGATCTTCTGTTGTACGGAGTCTATGGTATAGCAACAAAATCTTACACTCTGGGCTGGGATCAAGTTGGATTTCTCTAGGTTCAAAAGCCATCCCAGATTTTCCAGATGAGTATGAGTTACCTGCAGATTTGACAACACCTGAGCCCTGGATTCTGCAAACAGGAGCAGGTCATCTAAATATGGCACAACCGAAATCCCCCTTAGCCTGAGCGACTCCAGAGCGTCCGCCATCACCTTGGTGAACAACCTTGGATGAAGATGACAGGCCAAAATGGTAGTGCCTTGAATTGCAGGAGTCAGATGGAATGTACTCAGATTGGACAGCCAGGTGGAGAAATCTTTGAGAAGGTTGAGATATCAGAATGCAAAGATAAGCATCTCGAAGATCGATGGTCGCCATGAAGCACCCCGGGTATAGTAGCTTCCTCACTGAAAAAAACTGTGTCTATCCTGAAGTGCTTGTACCGAATGAACTTGTTTAGTATCTTTAGAGTCAGAACGTCCCCGAGGGATTCTCGACTAGAAAAATGTGCGAGTATAACCCCCAACCTGTTTGTTCCTTTGGAACCCAGGTAATTACTTTCTGCTGCATCTGTTCCTTCAAAAGGAACATTATTGCTAAAGCCATCTCTTGATCCCTTGGGAGATTGGTTAAAAAAAAAAAAAAAAAAAAAAAAAATCTGGTTGGTCCTGGAGAACTCTAGGCTGTACCCTTGGACAATGATTTTCTTGACAAAGGCACTTGCTGTTGCCTCTTTCCACTGTGGGAATAAAGACCGTAGTCTTCCTCCCAGGGAAGAGAATTGTCATTGCCTCTTGGCAGGCCACTCCGGGGGTCTGAAGACTCCCCCTTTCCCCGTTTTTCTGAAAACTCAAACTTCTTCTCTGGCCTTGTTCTTTATCTCTCTGGGTCTGTAAAAAAGAATTAACATTTTTCCTGACTGGCTGTTTCTTCTTTTTTGACGTGAAAGCTTTCTTCTTATCTGCTGTCCTATCCAAAAACAGTCTCCAGATCTGGCCCAAAACAACAAGTCTCCAGAAAAGGAGATCCCACATAACTTGATCTAGGATGCCTAGTCCCCTGACCAGGTTTTGAGCCAGATGGCTCTCCTGGCTGAGTTACCAAGGCAGAGGACCTGGCCAACATCCTGATGGACTCTGCTGATGTGTCTGCCATATATCTTACAGCTTTTAAAAAGGACAAGGAAAGACTCCAAAAGCTCTCCTCTAGAGGTGCCTGCTTCCACGTTCCCTCAGCTGCTCTAACCAGCACTCTAGGTTTCTAGCCACCATTGTGGAAGCCATTGCTGGTTTGAGGTGGGTCAGGGAAAAATCCCAAGCCTTTTTAAAGGCAAGAGTCTACCCTCTTATCCAATGCATCCTTTAGGATGCCCATATCCTCGAAAGCCAAATCTGTGCGCCTGGAAATCTGCGAGAAGGTCACATCCAATTTTGTTTTTTTTTGTTCCAGATCAAGGACTTCTCTTCCTCAAAAGGGGAATCTCCTAATGACGGATTTGAAAAAGAAAGGGCCTCTCTCTAATGTTGCCACCACATCTAAGACAATATATAATTATTTGCTCTTCAAAAAAGACAAACTTTAGATGTCATAAACTATATAAATTTTTACCTGCTTTCAATATCCCTAATTCTTCTAAGAGCAGTATCAGACTGAGATTCTACTGTGGTTTCATCCATACCCTCAGTGAGGGTTGCCTGCATCTCAGATGATGGTACACAAAGCAATGGAGCTACAGCTTCTTGCATGTCTTGTGAATGGCTAGGTCTCCAGCAGGACTGTAATTCATCTCTGGTATAAGTGGTTGGAGTTTGACATCCTTCATGAACAGGAGGTGCACAGAGCTTCCTTCTTTTCGATGGACAGCTAGAATAAAAAAAAAATATATAAGTAAAACAAACAAAGCCCATTGTATTTACAAATATTCTCATGCCTGCTATGTTTAAAATAAACCTGTCAGAGAAATCTAGAGGCTTCCATTGCCGACACCCTCAGGTAATCTTTATGTTAAGCAAACTATTGGCTTCAATATCATCACCAACTCAGAACGAGTGTGCAAATTAGGACAGTTTCATTGTTTCCATTAGAAAGAAAATTTAATTTGCTGCACAAAAAAAGAAAACTAAAACAGTTAAAGCAGCCAGCACCAAGGTATAGGGTACACTATACAATCTACCAATATTTGCTTAAGTGACGAAGAACAGAAAAAACCCCACACCTCTGAAAAGTGAAATGACACTCTGAAGAGCTCTTTCAATAGTAAATATTATGGCTCATATTTCTCAGAAGGGTGAACCAGTACTTTAAATAGATAGCTTAATAACCATGAATACAAATACAATATATAATGGAGATATGAAAAACAAAAAAGGTACCTCTGAAAGGTAAAATGACACTCTGAACATTGAGCTCAGAAGTGAATAAATAACGAATATTCCTCTGAAGGATGAAACCAAACGCTCTAAAGAGCCAGCTCAGTGACCACTATAAATATAAAATCAGTATTCAATAACATAAAAGGTCCTCTGAAAAGTGAACCCCAATAGTCCTCTGTATAAGCAGGATATCTTGATAATTCCACTCTCAACATGTATCCTCCACAAACAGTACTCTGAGGCTTACCAGAGCATATGTGACCTCCACACAAGAAGTCACAAACAGCTTTAATGTCAAGCAAGATGCTCCCCTGCACCGTGGTACAAAGGGTAATGGCTCACCTCCTGATCTCATTCCATGCTCAGTAGCAGTATCATACATGTAATAAAGTTCAAATAATGCTTCCCATAGTGTATACCTGATTAATACATTCAGTAGAAGCAACAGGAGACCCCACATAAAATGGTAGTGAAGTGAAGAATGAAGTGATTGTAAAAAGGTAAACTCCGGAACAATCACTTTCAGAGGGATATTCGCTATTTATGCACTATTGAGCTCACTTTTCATAGTAGAATTTCCATTATATATTTGTATTCATAATGATTATTGAGCTAACCCTATAAAAAGTAGTGGTGCACTGAAATGAAAATTCTGGTGCAGAAACCCATACCGAAAATTTAGAATGAACGTGGCCGAAAACCGAACCAAAACATCTGTGTTTGTGGGGTTGGGCAGTGTGTGCAAGGAGGGGGCAGGAGAGAAGCAGTGTATACAGTGAGGGAGCAGTGTATATAGAGAGGCTCCCTCACTGGCTGTCACTATATGTCAGTGCCGGTTTTTAAATGTAATTGCCAGCTTTTCTTTCCCCTTCACTATAGCTCAGCGTATGAGCTGTCACTTTCCCGAAGCTAAAGGAAACTAAGGGGTGGGGTCAATGGATAATGTCAGTGGGTGACCCTGCCCCTTTGTTTTCTTTAGCCCTCCAACAATGACAGGAGAGAGCCATGATTTCCAAAAACGCATTAAAAGGTCACACACTACAAGTGATCATGACTGTTCAACCAGTTGGACTTTAAGATTTTACTTATGCTTGGCACTCCTGACCCACCTGCACAATCTTAAAAAGGACACAAATTTTGAGGATCCTACATGAGTCAAGTTTTGCACTACCACACCACATACATAGCTCTCAGTGCAGCATGGTGGGTATGAACTATATTTCTGGCAAGATCACCTACGAATGCTGACCTAACATAACAAAAGCAAAAAAAAAAAAAAAAAAAAAAAAAAAAAAGAAGGGGGGGGGGGGGCTGCAAAGGCCTTGTGTTCTGCACAAGATATGTGTTTTTAAAATTAAAGTTTAAGAACACTAAACTGTTACTTACTCAAAGACATCTTGATCTCGCCTATGCTTTTTCCTTATTCGGCTACTAGGCCTAAAAAGTAAATAAAAAACACTATCAGAAAACACAAAATAGCACTGCAAAGCAAAGGCAAATTAGTGTGTAGCTAATTGTCAGGTATAGTGTTTTTGCATACATTTTCTTTAGGTTTAGAAAGAAAAATCCAGTCAAAAATGTTTTGATATCTTTTTACTCAGTAAACCTCTGCAATACATGCACATTCCACATGTATTATCCCTTTGGAGACCCTGCAAATATACACTTCTCAAAAAAAAAAAAAAAAAAAAAAAAAAATGAAAGGAACACTTTGAAAACACATCAGATCTCAAAACGGGGAAAAATATCATGCTGGATATCTATATTCATATGGACTGGGTAATGTGTTAGGAATGTAAGGATGCCCCATCGTTTGATGGAAAATTAACAATGATCAACCTACAGAGGACTGAATTCAAAGACACCAAGAAAATCAAAGTGAAAACATAATGCAGCAGGCTAGTCCATTTTGCTGAAATTTCATTGCAGCAACTCATAATGGTACTCAGTAGTTTGTATGGCCCCCACATCCTTGTCTGCATGCCTGACAACGTCAGGGCATGCGACTAATGAGACAACAGATGGTTTCCTGGGGTATTTCCTCCCAGATCTGGACCAGGGCAACACTGAGCTCCTGGACAGTCTGAGGTGCAACCTGACAGTGTCGGATGAACGGAAACATGATATCCCAGAGGTGTTCTATTGGATTTAGGTCAGGCGAGAATGGGGGTCATTCAATGGTATCAATTCTTTCATCCTCCAAGAACTGCGTGCGTACTCTTGCCACATAAGGCCGGGCATTGTAGTGCACTGGGAGAAACCCAGAACCTACTGCCCCAGCGTAGGGTCTTACAATGGGTCCAAGGATTTCATCTCGTTTCATAATGGCAGTCAGGGTGCCATTGTCTAGCCTGTAGAGGTCTGTGTGTCCCTCCATGGACATGCCTCCTCAGGCCATCACTGACCCACCACCAAAACAGTCATGCTGGACGATGTTTCAGGCAGCATAATGTTCTCCATGGCTTCTCCAGACCCTTTCACGTCTGTCACATGTGCTCAGGATGAACCTGCTCTCATCTGAAAAGCACAGGGCACCAGTGGCAATCCTGCCAATTCTGGTGTTCAATGGCAAATGCCAATTGAGCTCTATGGTGCCAGGCAGTGAGCCCTCGGGCCACAACCTCATGAAGTCTGTTTCTGATTGTTTGGTAAGAGGCATTCACACCAGTGGCCTGCTGGAAGTCATTTTGTAGGGCTCTGGCATTTGGCAATGGCACGTATTGATGTGCCAGTCCTGGAGGAGTTGGCCTGCCTCTGCAACCTCTGTAGGGTCCAGGTATCGCCACATGCTACCAGTAGTGACACTGATTCTAGACAAATGCACAACTAGTGAAAAACAGCCAGAAAAGAGGAGTAGGGAAAAAATGGTCAGTGACCTCCACTGATTAACAATCCCCTCTGCTACTTAACTGACCACATCAATATCCCAGGAGTTTAATTGACTTGATGCTATACTCTGATTAAAAAGCGTTCCTTTCTGGTGGTCTGATGTCACCTTTTCTGCCTTTGCTACCTATTATTAACAACCCTCTTTTCCCGCCGGGTTTGGATCACCCAGGGGCGTTTTCTTGGTGGGTGACTAATAGTTTTTTCGCAAGTGCGACACTTTTTGATTTTTCGGTCCTTTCCCACCTGGGACTCTCTTCGGGAATCCCGGAATATCCCCCCAGCGGAATTTTTTCGATATCTTCAATTGCGACACTGGCTGCTCTCGCTGCGGGGTACTTCTGCGTTCCCGTACCAGAAATCTGCCTTTGAACAGCTTTGCCAACAGCGTCCGGGCGCTCCGGGCCTTATATCCCTTCTTTATGCAGCTCTGAACAGACGCTCATCGCATACTTCTCTTTCATATGTTGTTCAGTGGGAGCGCGACCTGGGAGTGGCTGTGGATCCGGAGGACTGGAATAAGGCCTGGTCACTCATAGCTAAATGCTCATTTAATACGACCACACTGGAGGCAGCCTATAAGGTTTTGTTTCGTTGGTACTGGGTTCCGGCTCGGTTGGCCCGGGCTAACCCTGCCTGTAGTGATCGATGTTTTCGGGGTTGTGGTCATCGTGGTGATGTATTGCATATCTGGTGGTCATGCCCGAGACTGTTTCGTTTTTGGTCTCGTGTATTTGGCCTCCTTTTCACTTTGTTCCATCTCTCCATACGCCGGGATGTTCGGTATGCTTTGCTTCATTGCCCCATACCGGGCCTCTTGGCTCACCAGCAGAAGTTGGCTTCCTATCTGTTTTTATCCGCCACTAGAACAATTGCTCAGGCCTGGAGGAGTCCGTTTGTCCCTCTTCAGGGGGTGCGGGATCGTATGACCACTATGATGCTCAACGAACAGATGTCGAGTATCCGCAATGACTCCCAACGTAAATTTTTGAAAATATGGGAGCCGTGGTTGCAATATGCCCTTCCCTCACTCTCCCCGGCTAGTCTGGGGATGTAATGGCGTTCGGTGTTGGCGCTCTTGAATCCCTGCTCTTTGCCCCCCCCCCCTTTTTTTTTTTTTTTTTTTCTTTTTCTCTCTCTCTCTGTTTTTGGTGTGACTAGGACAGCTGCATTTAGTTGTTATAATCAGTTACATTAATGTTTTGTAACTTATGTGCCTTTGATAGCCCCTGCGTGGGCGTACCTTTTGCCCTGTTGGCATTAGAGCATTGTTTTTCCCCTTTTTTTTTTTATTTGGCATTTTGTTTATCTGTGCAATTGATAGCCCCTGCGTGGGCGTGTTTTACTGCCTCTGTTTATACTGTTTAAAAAATTTAATAAAAACCATTGAAATAGAAAAAGCGTTCCTTTAATTTTTTTTTGAGCAGTGTAGAATACGTGCTAATTTTCCAGCAATAGCTCACATCCCAAATTTTCTTCAGTTGACTCAATCAATGCTTTTTACTGGGCTGAAATCACAAGAAATGGTGTCAGCCCCACCCAACTGTCTTTTGCCAAACTACTGAATCCTTCCCCTTGCTCACAACAGAGTAATTACTTTGTAGTTCAAGATAATAACTGGAAGGAGCCCTTGAAATAACAAAGGAAGTATGTACAGAACAGCTCAGGCATTTTGTTTTATTAAACAAATATAACAAAATGCTTTCAATCATATATTCAATAGACCAAAAGAACACATAAGAGAAGATCATTTTTTACATACACTTTAAAAACTTACCCAGTACAAGTCTGAGCTATAACATGGGTCATCCCAGCATTCTGCACAGGCAATGCATTTCCCAAAAACGTGCCCATAATTTCTCCTCCAGTAACAGGGTTTGAAAGAAAAGGGCTATACATATTGAAGCATGAACCATTATTGCCGAGGCCAGTACCAATGGGAATACTGTTCATTTGGTTATGTTCATTGCCAGGTGTATCAAGAAAAGGAGAATTGACAATCCCTGATGCATTGGTCCTCTGAAGAAATGGGTCTGGCTGATGGTACTCCATTCTGTACAATGGTATTGAACTAAAAGCTCTGTTAATGGCAGCCATTCCAACTTTCCTCTGGGAGAGAAAAAAAAAAAGTGTTATAAACAAAATCTATTCCAAATATAAGGTTTAAAGATCAGTCAAAAAAAGAAAACAGATGCCCTCCCCCCCCCCCTGCATTGACAAAAACATGCACACTTTGGATATCTTCTTAAGACACACACTACAATCTGACCATACAATCCACTTTACGTTCACCAAAACTTTGTAACGTAATCACCTACCTAAACTATCCAATCAGTCTGTATCTAACCAACAGCCCTTGGACTACATGCTTGTTGGAAGATCTAAAAGGATATTGTACAAAAATTATAGTGTGTAGTGAGCCTAAAGCAAACCTTACATGAAAATTCAAGGTACGCTTTACTGACACGCCCCACCCCGATACAAGACGCCAGCTTCTCTGTGTTAAAACAACAACTGACACATCCTTGGCTCTCACCCACTTCCTGCCAGTAATGTCACCGCGCCCCAACGCTGCCTCCAGGGAAATGTGGGCACTCCTAACTCACAAAGATGTGCTCCTCATTGCAGGAGTGTACACCAATCTGCCATAACATTATGACCACTGGCAGATAAAGTGATGTCTGGTATGCACTTTCAGTTTTTTATTCGTTTAACCCAGTGGGCGGAACGAAAAAAAAAAATGAAGAGTTCAGCAGGACATCTTGTATTATCCGATGTTAGTACAGCGATCTTGTCACTGAGCTATTGTGTTCTGACAGGGGGACGCCCTGAACAGAGCAGAACACACCGGTCAGCACTCTCGGCCATTGGCTGAGAGCAATGCTCGGATGCCAATCAGCAGACCTTTTTCGGACATGCCCTTTTGACAGAAGTTTGGCCAGCTTTTGTCAGACTGACTGCCGTATACACGGGCCAAATGTCGACTGGTTTCAATGGCCAATACCGCTCATTACTCAGCCTGGGTGTATGGGGCTCGAATAACGTTGATTATCTTGCTACAACACCATCTGAAAGTGGACGGAATATATCAGGAAGCCTGTGAACATGTTGTCCCTGAAGCTGATGTGTTGAAAGCAGAAAAAAAATGGGCAAGCATAAGGATTTGAGTGACTTTGACAAGGACCAAACTGTAATGGCTAGACGACTGGGTCAAACTCCAAAACTGCAGCTCTAGTAGGATGTTCCTAGCCTGCAGTGATCAGGACCTAGCAAAAAAGGTCCAAGGAAGGAAAATCAGTGAACCAGCAACAAGGCTATGGGCAGCCACAGCTCAATGATGCATGTGGGAGCGAAGGCTAACCAGCGTAGTCCCATCCAACAGAAGAGCTATTGTAGCTCAAATTGCTGAAAAAGTTGATGGTTCCTATAGAAAGGTGCCAGAACACACTGTGTATAGTATAGCTGCAGATTGGTCAGGGGGGGGTCCATGCTGACCCATGTCCACAGGGGGCTTGTGAAAATCAGAACTGGACCACGGAACAATGTAAGAAGGTAGCCTGGTCTGATGAATCATGTGGATGGCTGGGTGCACATGGGAAGAGAAGGCACCCAGAATGCACTATAGCAGGGGTCTCCAAAATGTCTAAAGGGCTAGTTTACTGTCCTTCACTTTAGGGGGGCCGAATTGTGCCCAGTGGGAGTAAACAATGCCCAATCTTTAGTATTGGGGTAGAAAAAGGGGGTGTCACTGGGTGGAATAGTGTCCCATTTTAGTTGCCAGTGGAAGGAATTATGCCCCATCATTGGTGTGAAAGGAATAGTGCCCCATTGTTGGTGTCAGTGGTTGGAATTATGCCCCATTGCTGTTGTCAGTGGCAGGAATAAAGCCTCAAGGGCCAGATAAAGGCAAGCAAAGGGCCGCAGTTTGGAGGCCACTGCACTATAGGAAGAAGGCAAGCCAGTGGAGGCAGCGTGATCCTTTGGACAATGTTCTGCTAGGTAATCTTGGTCCTGCCATTCATGTGGATGCTACCCAACATGTACCACCTACCTAAACATTGTTGCTGACCAAGTATACCCCTTCATGGAAACGGTATTCCCCCAGGGCCTCTTTCAGTAGGATAATGAACCCTGCCACACTGCAAAAATGCTTCACGAATGGTTGGAGGAACACAAAATGAGTTTGAAGTATTAACTTGGCCTCCAAATTATCAGGATCTCAATCCATTTGAGCATCTGTGGGATGTGCTAGAAAAACCAAGTCCAATCCATGAAGGCCCCTCCTGGAACATACAGGACTAACCCCTGGTTCACATTAGTGCAGGCAAGGCAGCGCATTCATTTGAATGGGTTGCTGTGCCTGCATTTGAGGCAGGGAAAAAGGTGCATGCATCTTTTCCAAAACGCATGTGCACGGAAACCGCAGGATCATTTTGACCGTGCAGTTCTCACATCTGCAATCGCGCTGGGTGATGAGATGTGTGGGTTGCCATTCAGAATGAACGGCACCCCCCTATGTCTCGCAAGAAAAACACAATGTGCTGTGGCTCTGAGGAAGAGACCTTGAAACGCGTTAGCCTGCTGGAAGTCAAGGGTTCCATTTTTTTGGACTTATATGCAATGTGGATTGGACACCGCTGTTTAGTGTGATGTGCCTTTGACCTGTTTGCCTATTGTATGATACTTACTTTTTATCCTTCCAATACATTTTTTACAATAATGCACTAGGCCAGTGCACCCTCTGTTTGTTTTCTTTGTATCCAGTGACATTGGACTACCCTGGTCTGTTGAGGGCAGCAAGGAGTGCATTTTCCAGGATATCTGTGGTGGTACCATAACCCTAGCCAAGTCCATCCCAAAGCGCAGGAGTACAGAGTTTGCTGTGGTTGCAGGTATCGCACCAAGCCTCAGCATGTGGGTTAGTGTACGCCTAGCCTTAAAGGATTGGCTACCAACGGCTTGGTGCCAGATACCACACCTTCAGACGTCCAGTGGAGTCCATGTCTAAATGGGTTGGGAATGTTTGGGTGGTATAAGTGGGACCTACTCATTATTAGGTAGGTTGTCATGTTATGGTGTATATGAAGGTTCCCCCCTTTCCTCATCCATCTATGAATGGACACATTGTCCGATACAGATCTTCGGCCGGTAGGGTTGCCACCTCATCCCCTTAAAACCGAACACACATTAATAACGCAGGTTCTGGAGTAACTGAATGCAGATAAGGCACTAAGTCACATCAAAGTCGATTTTGAAAACGCGTGACTTACAGTGAAGTTGCACGATTTCAAAATCGGGTGACCTGCCAATCTCAGTTGCGGCTTGCAAGACATCCGATACAGATGTCTATGCAAATGGCAACAAAAGTAGTGCATGTACTACTTTAGAAACTGGTATGGCTCCGAACAAGTCGGAACCGCACCGATGTGTCCGCTCTAGGCTTGGTTCACACTGGATGCGATTTAAATTTGCGTATTTTGTTTGCATTTTCTGAAGAGTTGTTTGCAGCTTGTGAAGATTTTCCAGCGATTTCTTGCATTTTCCATGGCGTTTTGCAGTGTGATTTCTATTGTAATCTATGTATGTGAAATTGCAACAAACTGCGCACATTTTGTTTGCCGTGTTTTCTGAAGATTTCTCAACGATTTCTTGCGTTTTGCAGTGCGATTTCTATTGTAGTCTATGTGAAATTGCAACAAACTGCAGAAAAAGTAATACAAGAACTACTTTTGAAATTGCCGTGCAGCAAATTGTGCATGTTAAGACACTCACATGTACTAGATCCGATTTCAATTCCCAAATCGCACCTGAAATTGCGGCAGTGTGACCGGGGCTTACAGTGAAGTCGCACGATTTCAGAATCAGGTGACCTGCCGATTTCCTTGGGATGTGCAAGACATCTGACACAATTGTCTATGCAAGTCGCAACAAAAGTAGTGCATGTACTACTTTTGAAATTGGTGAGGCTCCGACCAAGTCAGAACCGCACCGATATGACCGCTCTAATATGGTGCGATTTGGCATACGATTTGCAAATCGCCTGGCATGCAAATCACATCCGATGTGACCGGGGGCTTAAGACATTCACATTCATTAGATTCGATTTCAGGTACGATTACAATTCCCAAATCGCAACTGAAATCGCGGTGGTGTGATCCAGGGATCAGACAACAGGGTACGACTGGTCATACGATTTGCAAGTCGCAGGGCATGCCAAGTCGCACCCGATGTGACCAGGGTGTAGGGATGAGGTGACAACCCGATCTGTCAGCCTGCTCCTCCATGTCCGATGTGAAGAAGCCTCTACAGGTGGTCACCCTCCTCTACCTGCACTGCCCACGTCTCCCCCGGCAGGGTGAAGCGGGGACACGGCGGTGCTCACTCTATCACGCTTCTGTTTACTGTGACAGCAGAGAACTGGCGGAACAATAACAAGAGCCCACGTGTGTGCACACAGCGACACTCACCCGTCACCACGAGTCACCTCTCCTCCCTCCGCTGCAGGGCCCACCACACTTCCGAACCAGCCCGAGGCCCCCGGAGCGCGCTCACCTCACTTGTCCCCGATACACTAGAGCGCGCACGGCTCCCCTCAGCCGCAGAGATCCATTACTGGGCGGTGCTTGTGCTTTTCTAGAACGCTCCGAACCTTTCCACTCGTCCACCATAGAGGAGACTTCTGATGGGGCCAGAGAGGACGGCGGGGGGTGTGGCTCGGGAGGGTGGGGGGGCGGACAGAGAGCTGCTATTTCCTCCATAGAGGAGGCGGCAAGCAAGAATAGAGGGCGGAACCTAGAGTGGCTAATATGTCGCTGGGCTGCGCGTTGACGTATTGTTGGTTATCTAGTTTTAGTCTAAAATGGATACTTGACCGACAGCTACTGTATGTAGTGGAAGGCATCTTGTAATCGATTTATATCCAGCAAGACAGGCCTCGGTGTTATTTAGAGTTGGTTGGTTCGAGAAAGATTGTAGAGATGTATGCATCCAGTCTAATATTTAGCACATTTTCGGTTTGTATGTGGCTGGAACGAGCGTTTCCATGCATCCTATTTGGATGTGCTGTCGAATGCACCCATTAAAAGGGGCATGCACTG